AATTAGAAATGACATTCACTTTCCTTTTTTATATGTTGAAAAGGTAAGTGTGATAGAATAAATTGGAAGAAAAGGAATATGTTATGTATCACAATGAACATTTTTGTCAAAGATTGAGGACTTATGTTAAATGGGTAATTTGGAGAACCCTGAATAGCATGAAATGGACATATAAATAGGGGTTAAAGTTGACTTATGGGCTCCTTTATGTCATAATAGTGTCTGGCACTGAAGGGGAGTTTTGCTATAGATATCTTAAAGTTATTCATTCACTGTCAGCTTCTGAACTAAAGGTGCAATGAACAGTAGTGGTAGGAGAAGGGAATACTTGAATGCACTGATAACTTATCATGTGAAACTCTGCATAACTTATCATGTGAAACATCTGCATTGGAAAAAATTTAGTTTTTGGCTTAATTGAGGTATTCTGTTTTCTCATCCAAATAAAGTGGTTTGGCTATAAAAGGCTCTGCATAACAACACTTACATAGCTAAAAAAGGGACAGTAAAGGAGGAATGCTCCATCCCCCAGGACCTTGCTTGGCCTGGTATATGACAGGAGTAAATATAGGAGGACACACTTATATAAAATGTGCTATTCCACACTTAGAGTCAGTGTGCCAACGAAAGTGAGTGTTATCAGATGTTGAGCTGCTTCTTGGAATTTGAGGAAAATTGAACAAGGGATGGGGTATGGAAGTCCAGAGTGGGTGGGAAAGCCTGGTAAAGCATTGTAATGATTTCAGAAAGGAGATGGAAGTTATCTCCTTCCCTACAGGCAGAGGTAGCTCTTATAGGAAAGAAGAGAGATTGAAAGGGACAATTTGTCTAAAATTGTCCCCAACCTTGTTGTATCAGGTGGATTAAATAATGGGAGCTTGTGAAGTTGGGTATCCGTGGTACCTAGAGCACATGATCCTACTCAGACAATTCTTTGGCAGAGCAAATTAAAATGTTGCTCTTTAAATAAAATGGAGTCTCCAAAATAAAGAGTTCATTTTTTTTTTTTGAGCTTTATTGATTCCTGACAGGCACATTCACAACACAGTTGCTTACATACTTGTTGGGTAAGTCAGGGGATGAATGGCATGCTCTATCAATTACTGGCAGTATAAAAAGGTCCAAGTGTAGTAGGGACCACACTTCACCACACATTCACTTGCAAACCATCTGAATCCTCTTCTCCTGACAACATGTGTTGCAACTATGGGAACTCCTGTGGCTATGGCTGCAGATGCGGCTATGGCTGCAGATGTGGCTATGGCTCAGGATGTGGCTGTGGCTATGGCTCGGGCTGTGGCTGTGGCTATGGCTCAGGATGTGGCTGTGGCTATGGCTCAGGATGTGGCTATGGTTATGGCTCCCGTTGTGGCTGGGGCTATGGCTCAGGCTGTGGCTGTGGCTATGGCTCAGGATGGGGCTGTGACTGTGGCTCAGGATGGGGCTGTGGAAAAGGCTCCTGCTGTGGCTGTGGCTCTGGCTGCTGTGGCTACTGGCCATTTTGCTACAGAAGATGTTGTTCTTCTTGCTGCTAGACCATCACTCTCCAAGCCCCATTTGCTTCTGAAATGATACCACCAAAGCAAGAGCTGAAGCAAGAATCCATACCTCAAGAATTCTACATCCAGGAAATTGCATGCTGGACAGAGGGTTTGACCCCCAGTGAACGTTTGTGAGGCTCTGTGGTATCATCTGACTACTTCCTAAATATTGGTCTTTGTTCCCTTAATCTGGATTCTGTGTTGGGACTCTCCCAGGGATCCTAACATCCCACAGTTGGACAACAAACTCATTCTCAATAAAAATGGTTCTTTGCTTCTAACAAATCTCTGTGTTCTTGCTTGTGAATTACTCCTTCCTTTTGAGGTGTTATGGCCACTCTTGAAAATTGGGCTGACAATATGCTTCATGACCCTAGGCTCTTCTTTGATATAATACAAACATTTCCTCTCATCGCGCATCAGAGATGTCTTCTTCACTTATTTCTCAATTCTCTCCTGCTCAGGCACTCACAACCCAAAAGAAATTACACAGTATTTCAGAACTGTGCCCCGGAAATTGCACTGTGTTCATAATGAAGCTGGGTGCAGGGGGAAGAGAAGGTGGAAGGACACCTATTCAGGAGGTTGTGACAGAAGCCCAAGAGAGAGGAGATGTGGTCTGAGTGCTGACTAGATGAATGGCATGGCTGAGAGAGTTCCTAGGGTTAATGAAAAATTAGAAGCAGAGTCAGATTATTCATGAACAGCTAATGGAAGGATAAGGAGGGGGAAAAATATGGTGCCGTATCATGTGCATATGGATGGAAGTGCAAATATTTGTTTGCATATATTAAGCTTGAAGAAATTGATTTAAGTCACTTGTTTGACAAATATTTTTGAATGTGTTTGATAGGGAAAAGCCCCACATACCGAAGATACAGGAGAAAAATTGTAGCTGAGTTTCCTGTTCTCAGAGTGTTTATTTTCTAACGTGATAACAGCGACAAAAAAGAGAATCAATTAAGACACATTTAGACAGATAATTGCTGTGGAGGGATAAAATAGTTTCCTGGGGGAAGAGAGTGAAGGTTGAAGTAGTGGAGAGGAGGGTATTTTGGCATTTCGTGTCAAATGAAGTGATGCCAGTCAGAAGAGATACTGCAATGTATGGTGGTAAGTGTTAAATAAGAAGAGAAATGCATTATGTTTTGGGTATGATCAGCGGTGCCACAGTTTTTAGTGGAAAGGAACAAGGATTAGTGCTTAAATATGCTCTCTAGTGCCATAGTTAATGCAGATACAAGAATGGGATGAAAAGCCCAGTCTACTCTCTGAGCTCAAGAGCTTACCACTTTGCGGGTTCTGAGTTCAATGTCCTTTCCTCATGTGACTTTCTAGATCTCCAACACTATACTATAACATAGAATGTAATCTCAGGCTCAGTTTCCATGAACAGTGAAAAATGACTCCCTGTGTCTTTTTCACGACAAGGGTCACTGCCCAAATCTGAATCTGAGGTCCCTGGAGGTAGTAGCCTCCACCCAATGGCCAATTGCAAGAGAGATGGCTCTGCCATCAAAGTCAGCCCTGGAGTGAAGCTATGCCCAGGATATAATGTGTCTTATTGATGAAGAAATAGGGTATTTTAAAGATCTGGACAGTTTTCACAGGTGGAATATCTGTAAATCTGATCTGAGTACTGACTGTACTCTGGGTAAATCTGAGGTGGGGAAGTTCTACAAAGAAGGGAATGGAATTCTGATAATTACAGGTTGTTGAAAGTCTACTCATGTTTCATTATGTTCCTTGTGCTTGAAGTCTTTGAAAAAATGAAGAATATCAAAAGCTAGCCATTTATATCATAATTTATATCCTATAAAGTCTTGATCATTTATTAGACATATAAGATAACTTGTACATCTGGAAAAATGTCTTTGGAAACCAACACATTTTTCATAATGTGAAATTTGAGACTCACTTAGTCGAAGAATATTTGAGGCTCTCAGCTTTCATGAAATGAGAGCATCATGATTCTCATCATTCTTCTAAGGTGCATACCAATGCTTGAACATGTTTTTGTTTTAACGCATCTGATTTTTATTGGGGAAGTGTTGAGTTCAAATTATGTACTAGGTACTCTATTTAGAACTAAGTGGTGATTCAGGGATGCACAGAATAAGAGATTATTTTCCCCTGCCATCATGTATTTGAATGGAAAGTTTCTAGAAATTATGCAATAAAGATAGAAAAATTTTTCAATAGTAAGGAATATTGTGACCAGAAAGTGGGTGCTTGAAACGTAATGTGTCTATTGTAGGGAACTTGTGTATTAGAATTTAGAGTTATGATTTTCAAGAATGAGAGAAAAGTAGAGAAAATAAAGGTAAAGTTCAACTGGAATGGGATATGTTTTCTTTAAACTTCTTGTTAGGGATGAAACAGAGCAGAGTGATCAAATAGACCAGTGACCAATGGAGGAAAAAGTAGTTGGAAGTACTCTCACCAAAGGAAAAATCTCTCGTAATGAATACTTTCAAAAAAGGAAATCAACAGCTTTATGAGAATCTTTGCTGAAGGCCTTCCCTGAGTGCCTTCAGGGACTGAATGCCACACATTTCTTTGTTGAAATTATAGTGTTGAGTAGAAGGAATAATCTTCCTGAGTTGCTGTTATAGCAAAAAAATTTAAATTTTGGATTCTGCCTGTTTCGGAAAATGGGGTTTTAAGTAAAGCCTAGAGATCTAAGGTAAGCAAAAACATCCCAACAACCAAGCAAACAAAAAATAAGCCTGCTTGCTTGCTTGCTTTCTTCCTTTCTTTCTTCCTTCCTTCCTTCCTTCTTTCTTTCTTTCTTTCTTTCTTTCTTTCTTTCTTTCTTTCTTTTCCTTCCTTCCTTCCTTCCTTCCTTTTTTTCTTTCTTCACTTCATGTCTGGTGATGGAATGATTTGATATTTGGTTTAATTGGGAAGAAAGGAAATATTGTATTGACATTATGTGAGATGTTTCAGTGTTGTAGGGGGCTGTTCTGTGCCCTGAGGCTAGCATCAACCCTTGTTTCTAGCATGAGGAGCCAGTAGGTATCTGCAGTAGATATCTGGGTATGAGAAGCCTGGGAAAAAGTTTTGATGATTCCAGACAGGAGATGGCAGTTATTTCCTTCCCTATGGGGAGAAGTAGATATTTCAGGATAGAGAAGAGATCAAGAGGGACAAAATTTCCCCAAATTCCCTGAACCTTGTTATATAAGGTATATTAAGTGATTAGAATTAGGAATAAAGTAAAATGCTGCTCTTATAATAAAAAGTGAGACTACAAATAATGAACTCTCTTTTTCCAAGATATTAAGATTCTCGACAGTGACAGTCACATGAAAGTTGCGTACATACTAGTTGGGTAAGTCAGGGGTGAATGGCATGTTCTATCAATTACTGGCAGTATATAAGGGTCCAAGTGTAGTAGGGGCCACACTTCACCACACATCCACTTGCAACCCACCTGAATCCTCTTCTCCTGACATCATGTGTTGCAACTACGGGAACTCCTGTGGCTATGGCTGCGGCTGCGGCTATGGCTGTGGCTATGGCTCAGGCTGTGGCTGTGGCTATGGCTCCCGTTGTGGCTGGGGTTGCGGCTCAGGATGTGGCTGTGGCTACGGCTCAGGCTATGGCTGTGGCTATGGCTCAGGATGTGGCTGGGGCTATGGCTCCAGTTGTGGCTGTGGCTATGGCTCAGGATGGGGCTGTGGAAAAGGCTCCTGCTGTGGCTGTGGATATGGCTCTGGCTCTGGCTGCTGT